GCTAAATGAAGGTAGAGGTTTGAGCAGGTCACCCAACACTCAACCAGAAGCAAAGGCAGCTCTAGCAAGGAAAGTAGGAGGGAGGGGAAGAGGCGGGGAAGGGGGCCGTAACGTGTGAATGCGAAAGTGAAAGTGGGTCGTGTCTTCTTTGCAGACTCAGTTCCCAGAAAAGGAGGCTCAGATTTTGGAGGTCCCTGCCATCATGGCCAAATCCTGCACTGCCATCCAGATCAGCAAAGACACCCGTGAAAAGGTGGGGAGACCAAATATTGGGGGGTAGAGGGGACCCATAAATAATGCATTTCTGCCTTTGCTTTTCTAGAATAAGGGAGGGGAATTAAGGTGGATCCCATAGCGAGCCCCAAATAAACAAAAAGGGGACTGCAGGACCCAGCATCCCCCAGACAGCATGGCCACTAGGAGGTCTCATGCAAGGAAAAGAAGAAGAAAAGTTTCTTCCAGCTCTGGAAAGAAAGAATTTTTGTTGTTGTTGATGGGTGCTTTCAAGTCCTTGTTGACTTAGGGCAACCCTGGGTTGAGAGAGTGTGACTCACCCAAAGTCAAGTTGGGTAAGTCAGTGGGGTTTTCATGGCTAAGTGGGGACTTGAACCCAGATCTCCTGAAATGCCCAGCATGGCATATTGGTTTGAGTGTTGGACTGTGACTGTGGAGACCATGGTTCGACTCCCAGCTCAGCTATGAACCTACTGGGTGACCTTGGGCAAGTCACACTCTCTCAACCTCAGGGGAAGGCAATGGCAAACTTCCTCTGAACAAATCTTCCCAAGAAAACTCTCTAGAGTTGCCATAAGTCAGAAACGTACCTCTGAACATATGCAGAATATTTCTAAATCTGTTCCCATTATCCACTCATCTCTTCTTTGTTAGGTTTCAGGCAAGCAGGGAGCCCGAGTGCGAAGGCTGTATTTTCTCAAGCAATGGGAAAAGAGGAGGTCCTCTGTACATGCTCAGAGTGCCTTTGATTATTTGGATATTCACCCTCTCACCCCTAAATTGGGTTCTGCATCCTGGTTTCTACAGACTTGACTGATGTTACCGGACTTTCTTTCGAAGAAGTTGGGGTACAGAACTCAGGATGCATCCGCACTACAGAATTAATCCAGTTTGACATGGCTGTAACTGCTTTGGCTCAATGCTGTGGAATCCTGGGATTTGTCATTTGCTGGGGCACCAGAGCTCTATGACAGAGAAGGATAAAAAAGCTCACAAAACTATAAATCTGAGTATATCTTCGCACTGAGCCATGGCGATTAAAGTGGTCTGAAACTGGATTATTTCTGCAGTGCGGATGCAACCTAAGTGCCATGTTTTTGCAGCAGTTATTAAATATTTCCACTCAACCCAGGAAAGAGCTGAATTTTACACTCTTTTTCTCTCTCTCCAGATGACCTGTTTCCGAGAGTCCCTTTTAAAAGAGGTGAGTTACTTATTACTCTTTTCTTCCACCTAGTTCTCCTTGGCTGCGTCCGCAGTACAGAGATAACCCAGTTCGATGCCACTTTTAACGGCCGTGGCTCAATGCTATGGAATTCTGGGCAGTGTAGTTTGTTG